AAGGCTGATGTAACAGGGCAATAAAAGCTGCGCAGACACAACCAGTGGTCGCGTCTTCCTTGCTGGCAAGGCCGCGCGCGACAGATCATTATGAGTCTGATCTAGTATTGAGATTCTGAACAACCTGTAGGCCCTTCCCTAAAATACAAAATAAATAAATGAATACAAGACTTTATGACTTTGTATTAAGAATAATGCTTTCTAAAATAATGACACTAAAAGCAAGAACAACTAAAGGAAAAATAAAGTGGACTTCACCAAAATGTTAAAACATGGTATATGAAAGATGTTCAGGTTGGTAAAAAGACAATCCAGAGAATAGAAGATATCTCCAAATTACACATCTGAGAAGGGTCTAATATATAGAATACCTTAAATAAAAAACCCTATTTTTCTTCTAAAAAATAAAAATAAGTGGCCAAGAAGTACCAGAAAAGAAACTCAATGTAATTAGTAATTAGGGGAAATGCACATCAAAGTCAAATTAAGATACCATTTTATACCAGCAAGAATGCTCATTCATAATTATAAAACAAATAAAAACAGTAGTAACAGGTACTGGTGGAAAAACTGAAATTCTCACACATTGCTGGTTAGACTGTAAAAAGCACTAACACTGAAAAACATGTCAGTATTTTTCAAGAAGCTGAATATAGAATTATCATATAATGCAATAATTTCATGTTTAGGTATATACCAAAAGATGAAAACAAGTGTTTGAACAAAAACTTGTAACACTCATAGTCAAGATTCCCAATAGCCAACATAGAGAAGCAACCCAAAGTCTATATACAGATAAGCTATGGACAAACAAAATGTGGTAGAGCTACATAATGAAATATTATTTAGCAAAAGAAAAGAATGCAACAATACAGATAGAACATGATTATATTAAGTGAAAAAGTTTGACAAAAAAATAATATCCTAATGCCATACAATACTAATTAACTGAAAATACAGTGTTTAAATGTTGTATACTTGATAGAGTACATATGCTTTAAGGGTATGCTTTATCACTTGGCTGATAAGACTTTTATGCAGCAGGATCTGAACTACTAAAGCATTAAATAATGTCATTAACTCTTAAAACTGTTCAAGGTTCAAGATTTTTACTATAAAGTTTCAACTCTACAGTACAGCACCTAAGTCCTATAATGAACGGTCTCACATTATTTTCTGGCCTCAGTCTAACTTCATTTAATAACCTATGTTCCAAGCACAGAGCTTAGAATAAGCACAGAGCAAGACATACAGTACCTCAACCTTATGAAGTTCAAGAACCAGAAGGAAATACAAAACAATAAAATATTAAGACTGGAGGAAAGCAAACATGAAGTATCATAAAAACTTAGTAGATTTATCATATCAGACTGTGGTGTAGGAAAGAATGGACTTCTTCAAAAGTACCATTAAACTAAAACAGAAAGAACACTAGGTGAAGAACCTAACATGTTCCAGACAAAGAGGAAATAATATGGGAACTAAACACTATAGCAAAAAAAAGTTACTCAAGCTCGACTTGGTGCAGCATGCCTATAATCCCTGCACTCTGGGAGACTGAGACAGGAAGACTGCAAGTTGAAGCCCAGTTTGGGCAACTGAGGGAGGCCTTATTTCAAAATTAAAAAATGAAAGGACTGGGAATGCAGTCCACTGTGAATGACTTGGGTTCAACCCCCAAACCTGTAAAAAAAAGTAGTAGTTACTTCTGTAAGGTTAAAATATTGGGGTTGGAGAGGAGCTAAGAAAAAGTTAAAAAAAAAATAGGTTCTCTAACTTGAATGAAAAGTCATTACAGTTTTATTTATTTTATTTTTTATTTTTTGGCTGAACTGGGGCCTGAACTCAGGCCCTTGCACTTGCCAGGGAAGTGCTTATTCTACTGAGCCATCTTCCCAGCCCCCTCATTACAGTTTTAAAAGGAAGCAAAAAAGAAAAAAATCACTGCATCTAGACATTGCCTATCTAATTGCCTGTGTGGCACATACTCCCTGTTTGGTATTTATTCCAAGGTGCCAAATCAAAACATTATCTAGTAGCAAGACAAAACAAAAAATCTAAATTATGATTCTATAATCTGTTTCATGTAAATACAGACAAATACTATGTATGTATACTAGAGATTATACAGTGATAGCTGCTACAATAAAAGCCTTGAAATTAAAACCAGAGTGACTATTAGATTGACATACTGCCATTCTGTCAAAAACAAAATATGAAAGTAAAAATACTGCTAAGCAACTAATCAGTACTGAAGAACCAGCAATTACAATGGAAGACCCTGCCACATGTAACAAAACAAACCTTCTCCACCATGCCTGTATGAATATATGACAGCTATGTATCTGAAAACGGGTAATGTAAGCTTATCTTGTCAATATGAGATAAAATTTAAAAAAATTATTTTTTAACCTTTCCAGATTCTGACATTATTTTAACTTACTACAGTGACAGATTCACTTTTACTTTTGTGTGCTAGATACTTCAGATAGTAGATTAATCTAAAGGTAATCAATGTTTGAGACTTACTAGTACCAGAATGCCCCAGGGACCACACTAGTAAAACAATTCAAAGAAAAAAGTGACCTCTGAAACAACTACATTCCATGAAAATCAGTAAATATATTAATAGCAGCATTTTGCTGAAGAACATTCTTATAGTTGGAAAACAATTTTGTCAAAAAAATTTCAACCAGGTGATTTTAAAGATCAGTCAGAAAAATTCAGTGAGAAATTCTTTCTGTCATGAATATATTCCTATTAAAAAGTTTTTACCAATAAAACTTGGCTATTTGTCAGTTTTAGATAAATATTTATGTATAATGAAAAAGACAAGCAATATATGTCTGTCTTTCTAAGTCAGTTCAGTTTATTTTAAAATCATCTGAATCCCTTTTAGAGCCCATTAAAGCTTGAAAAGATTTTTCTAGGATGATGAGAACCCTGCTAAGCCAGGAAAAACATATGCAATAAAAATATATTATTTAAAATCATGCCACCTCTTAACATACACATTTTATCTTGACTGTATTTTCACATTTTTCCTCGTATCTTTCTGAAAATAATATGTGTCCCATTTTCAGATGCAGAAACTGTGTCCAAAAAGAATATGCATGACTTCTGCATATTTTACTGCAGTAAAGATAAACCAGATATTTATTGAATATATAACTTAACTAAAAATAGAGAATCCAGATTAAAAAAAAATTGTTGAATCATAGACAAATTGGTCTGGTGAAAAGTATCTTTAAAATTATTATTATTATTATTATCATTATTATTTGATCAGGGATGAGCTTAGCTTCGACAAAAGTCAAAGACAATAGATTCCAATTTAAAGATAAATTAGAAATGGAATGGGAAGGAAACCAAGAGATGGAAGGCAGGAGAGGGAGAAGAGAAAGGGATGTAAAAAGAACTGAAATATGTTCTGCATGCACCAACTCCCCACAATGAACAGAATCGTGTACTGCAAAGTCGGGTCAATAAAAATTTTTAAAAAGGAACTGATATCACAACTATTCAAACCAGCCTGTTCCATGACAAGTACTTCATAAAATTACGAGTCTCCTACAAATATTATCTTATACTTGACAGTCAAATGCGTGAAAGGGGCCAAAAAAGCAGAAACAGCTGGGCAGTAACACCTCCATTAATACAACCCTCAGCAAAGAAAAAGCCACCGCCTCTCGTTCCCATCATTTCAAAACCCCGGCTGTGAGCCCCAAGCTGAGGGCCGTGCGCTCCGTGACCCTACGGGATCTAGCTACGGGGGCAACGGAGCGCGGGCGGCAACGCCTCCAGCGCTGCGGGCCACCGAGGCGGGAGGGTCTCGCTGCCTGCAGCCCCCATCTTCTCGCGCCCTCCCGGGGCTTCGCGCCGGCTTCCCTGCCCCCACCCAGGCCGCTGACGTCCCGCAGCCGCCAAGTACACCTGGGCCCAGGGATGGCCGGGACGTAGGACACAGTCGGGGTGTCACCTTTTGAGGTATCTGGCGTCCTCCCCTTGCATGGCGGCGGCGACGGCGGCGGCTCACAGGCCCGCTGGTTATTTTCGGGAATTCGAGTCAAACACCCTCAACCGAAGCGCACACACTGCAGAGGCCGGTGAGGCGTGGCAGCAGCGGCGCTACGGTTTCCACGGTGAGGCTGTGGCTCCTCCCACAGCAATGGTCCCCAACAGCCGCCCGGAAACGCTCAGGGGCTCTGGCCAGGCCCTCCTCAGGCGCATGCGCCCGCAGCACAGAACCCGGATGCGCAGGCGTAGTCGGGGGCCTTGGGCCCTGAGACCAATTTGGCGCGCGCGGAGAAGCGCAGGAAGGTTTGGGTGTTCGGTATTTCTGTGTTCAACTCAAAGAGCGGTTCTCTGGACACTGCCCCCTTGAGGATGGGAATAGAAAGGGCAATAACAGTCTGCAGAATTGGAATTTCAGGTCCTTAGACTGGAAAAGGGAAAGTCGGTGAATTTTTTACTAACAAACGGAGCAGCACTATGGAAAAGGTATTGGGGCTGTGAAGCTTTATTCTCGAGATAGGCATGACCCTGCTGCAGAAATACATATGATGTCAACTGTGAAAGCGGCAGGTCTGTAATTTCCAGTTCAATTTTGTTTTAGTTTGCAGAATGAATTTTTGAAAAAAATAGAGAATACCAAGTCCAGCTCGGAATGAACTGCAGCATTGCAGGTATAAAGTGATTAGATTTATAGGCAGAGTGGAGAAGAAAAACTGGGTTTCAGACGTACCTTGATGTTCATAATACATCCTCTCCCTCCAAGTAACAGCTCTATAAATTTCAATTCCTTCACTCAAGTACTTTAGGAATTGTTCCTTCTGAGGTGGGCAATTGTTGGTAGTGCAAGGAAGGAGAAAGACACGGAAAATAGGAATATTTTGAAGTAAAATAAGATTGGATTTTGTAACTGTAATACAGTATGATACAGAGGTGATCAAAGCCTGAAATTTCTTCTCTGTAGACTGAAAGAACGACTATAACATTATATGACTCTATAAAAGTGAGACATTTTCGAGGATATAGAATATATCTTTCTATATAAGTGCTGGCCAAATACCTCAGCGGATTAAAGCATCTGCAATCAGGCTCAGGGGACAAAGTTTCGATTCCCAGGCCTGCCATGCCAGCCCAGCTCCCGAGGCATGCTGAGACCCCCAATGGGACTGAGCATGGTGGTGTGTGCCTGTAATCCCAGCTCTTGGGAGGCTGTAAACAGGAGGATCACTGCGAGTCCAATCTAGTGGTGAGACCCTGAACACCCTGTAGACCCTTCCCTAACAAAATACAATAATAATAATAATAATAATAATAATGTATCAATAGAGGCATGGCAATTACAACAAATGTGCGGCACAATGAAAGAGATTAACAACAGGAGAAACTGTGGGGGAGGGGTGGCATA